CGCGTGCTTTTTCCTTCTCTATTTTGCCCTCTTTGCCGGAAGGGGTCACGTGGTGCTGAGGGGACTGCCGTTCCCCGTCGCTCGGTCTGCTTTATACCTTGCGTTATCTTGCTAGATCCGTTTAAGCTTGATAAAAGGCGGGGGGGGGGGTTCCACGTGGAGGGGGAAGCGGGTTGGAAAGTAGCTGCTGTCCAGATGCTTCCACGTAACGTTAGGCGCTGTTGCAAACATACTTGAAACAAGTCTAGGCAGTTTTTTAAAAGATGTGGAAAGTTGGTTAGTCTGTTGCAAAACAAAAACAAGACTCTCCGGGATTTAAAAACATTTATGTCCTTGTTTACTCATAAATTAATCCTACTGTGTTCTGTAGGTTTCCCAGGTAAATGAAGCTAGGACCGATTCCTAACAAATTAATGGTGGCATGAAAGGAAGGAAGGAAGGGAAGGAGGGAAAGAAAAGAAAGAAAAAGAAAGTGAGAGAGAGAGAAAGGAAAGGAAAGGAAAAAGGGGAAAGAGAAAGTGAGGGAGAAAGAGAAAGTAAGGGAGATTGAGAGAGAGAGAGAGCAATCTTCGGCTGGCAGTTCTCTAGCTGTGCTGTACCGAAACTCCCATTGGCCTGAGCCAGCAGAGCCAAAGGATGTTTGGGATTTTAATTCCAAGTATTCAGAGGGCCGCATTTTGAGGGAGATTTCATTAGATTAGAATCAAGACATAATATAATATACACACAATTAGAAATATAAACACTTCTTCCACCCTCTCTACCCATATATAGGCATAACTATATATCATGAATGCGAGGAAATGGAATCTAATTCATGAACGTGTAAGTCTTCATAAAATGATTTACATACAGGTCATAAAACTTTAAAGTGCTTCAAGACTTGTTTTTAACTATCTGAAAGCCTTGCATTTATTTTCCTAATATGGTAAACCCAGATTTTAATTTAATTAAACATGTTTAGGAATTGAAAGTTGAAGATGGAAGCTTTTCTATCCTGTCTGTTAAAAAAGAGATACAGAAAGAAATACTCTAGATGGATAGTGTTGGTCCTTGATTTCAGATTGACGTTTATTCACCCTGATCTTGGAGAAAATCTATCTATGTGGTCACTAAGAGTCATCATTGGCTTGATGGCACATAATCAATATGCACCCTGAAACTCAATCATTTGAATATGATTTCTTCCTTTCTTAGCACTGCCTATCTTACCTTAGGTTTGTTAGATAATAAAATAGATATAGAGCAAATCTTCATTCTCTTTGATAAAACAAAATGGCACCATCCACATGCAAGAGTTTGGTCAGTTTGGTGCTTTTGAATCAGTCTTGACTCCTAGCAACTGCCTGGACCAGTCCCTGCAGTTTTCTTGGCAAGTTTTTCGGAAGTGGTTTGGCCTTGCCTTCTGAGGGCTGAGAGAGAGGGACTGGCCCAAGGTCACCCAGGTGGCTTCGTGCCCAAGACGGGACCAGAACTCACATTCTCCCAGTTTCTATGTCACCAAATTGGTTCTCCAAGACCGTGGGATCAAGACCTTGGAGAAACCCAAAATATTTAGAACAACAATATTTGGTCACAGACCCCTCATAAATACTGCAATCTCTCCAATAACTTGAAGTAATACAAAAATAGGAGGAAATAAATAATTCATCTGTTAATAATTTGTGTGCAGAGTTACCAAAATCATGTTGTACAATAATACATCAAAGATCTGGAAAAGCTGTATTAAATGAAGGTGAAAAATGGAACATGAATTAATTATTCCTATTAATTTTTTTTATCTCTGTTTCTTAATTCTTGTCTAGATCTATGAAGGGTCATGAACTGGTTACAAAATGAAGTGATTCGCTCATCTAGAATAATACACTTAATTTTGTACATCAGAAAGATTGCACTGCAGCTCTGTAGAAGACTGTTCCACACAGCTGGCTGGATCTGAAGAAAGATCTTTCTTCAAAAAAATACATTTTTTTGCATACTCATGTGATGCATGGCATGTGATTATATAAGCACACCATGATAGATAAACATCTTGATAGGCCTATATTATTTAAGTAACTTTATTTTTAAATAATAGTATTTCTCTGATGATTAAAATCACCTTAAAAACACTGACACTTATCTAATTTATTAATCGTAAATATTTCACTAAAATTATTTGAAATTTCCATACTGCCACTAATTGGAACAGGAATTTTAAGAAAGAATTAACAGATTAACTTGATTAGCAGTGAGACAGTTTGTTATATGCTCACTATGGTTCAGAACTCATTGAACACTTCCAACCTTGTACTGGTTGTACAGAACTTCACATGGTCGTGGGTTTGCTCTATGTCTGTTAAATGCTTCTTGCCTTGTCTACCAGTGATTTCTGCCCAAACAAGCTAATCTGAAAAAATCTACAGTTTGTTTTAGATATGTCTCTTTGGTTAATGGGGAGCTTAATCTTCTGTAGATTATATGAAACAAACAAATCTAAGCCAGCAATGGAGAGAAGCCAGCCAACACAAGGGATCAGACATATTCAGAAGAAGCAATGAACCATGGAAAACAGGTCATCAGGATTCGCCTATTACCTGCTGGTTTAAAGAGGACTATCTATGCACCAGTGAGAGCCACTGGACTGTGGTACAAAGGAAGATTAAATTGGAAAGCCCAAAATGGAGAACCCATGACAAATCAAAGGCTTACCAAGTCTCTCCTTTTTCTGTTAAATCTAAAAAAGAAAAGCTAGTAGGTTCATCTGGAAAAAGCTTCAAATCAGGATACAAGTCTGTCATGCAAACCTGTAATGTCAAAATATATTTCTGATAGCTATCTTCTTGGAAACATCTGGTTCAGTCAGAATCTGGAATAACACAATTAGGAATAGTAGTAGCTTTATTATGTACTTACAGCTATGTGTAGAACAGTTATAGAATAAAACAACAGTTCAAACAATATTTTACAATTATTTATAAGATAACATAAAGTCCAAACTTAAGATGATATTTTAAATTATTGTATACATTTAGAGATAAATTCAATTACTGGTTACATTTACAAGGTGATCAAGTACTGTACATAACGTCTAAACCATACTGGCTTAAAAGGAGAGGAGAAGGAAAAGTAACTTAAAGGGACTGGGAAAATGACATGACATAGGTGGGATCAAATGGTGGTAGAACAGATAAAAATGACTGCTTTTTTAAACTGTGTTAAAATCCATTTTAGAGTCTCCAGCACAGTTTTCCCAGCAAAGGAATGGTGGAGAAATATTGAATCAATATTAATTGGAGGAGGCTTATGGACTACAGGGGATAACTGGCCTCTTGCCGCATTAAATCAATGAGTGATCTACTCCTTAAGTAAAGTTCAGAGGAAGAAATGTTCAAGTTGGTCAATGGGTTCCTATTCACTTTGCCAAGTTATCCAATTAATTTTTTACAAGCAACAACTGAGCTTAAGGGTATTGAATTTGATAGTGCTGTGTACTCTTAAAAGAGTCCAAAATTTGAACACTATATTTCGCTAATGTGTTTTTAAAAATAATTTTTATGTATTTGTATCCTGCATTTCCTCTAGCTTAGCATGGCTCATATGAGAATCTTCCTTCATTTTACCCCAATAACAGCAGATCTGTGAGATTACTTGGGCTGAGAGAGAGTGGCTGTCTCAATATCATCCAGTGACTTTCTATTTCTGAGGGTCACAGTAGATTTGAATCTTAAATATGGCTTAATGAAACTATATTTCTTAAAACCTGGCAATCGTTAGCAATTACTGTAAGTGCAAAGGGACATCAGAGAGCAATACAACTTGATGCATATCCCATTGGACCTCTTTTTCCCTGCATTTCATCTCATTTATGTTGCTAAGGGTTATGGTTCCTAACATTAAATTCTGATGTAGACATCATTTACATGCAGTGGATTTAATCTTGTGTAAAGGATACAGCCAATATACAGTAGAATGTATATTTAGTTAGAACTAAGCTCCACCGAGTTTAATCGTGATCCTTGAAAGATTGCAGCTGGACTCTGCCTGCTACCTGGCCATAAATGATGTATGGGGAAACAACGTCAGGGCTTGCTGTGGATTTTCGTGA